TAAATTATGGCCTATTTTGAATGCATTTTAGCACACTCAATTTACTTTTTGCATGAATTCCCCAAATACTGTACAGTATTACCGTATGTTTATTACCGTATTACAAAATAGCTTGTAAATAAAACTTTTGCTCAACATTTTATTACAACATTTCGCATCAATTTACTTTGTGTCCAAAATCACTATTCTCAATTATCCTGGACATTCAGTTTATACAATTCTCTAATTATATAACTCATTCGTGACCTACTGTATAACGGTTATAGGGCACCACATATTGAATAATACTTGTAAATCAATTACCGGTATATTGTGGTATATTTCATATGAAATCATATGAGTGATTATTAAGACTGCAAAGATTATAACATAGATTATTACAAAGTGGTTGCAGTGGTTTGGCAAAAATTGTGTTTTACAGTATTTGTAATGAAATGAGTTTATTTGGATTGACATTAACATTGATGTGCTTTATTTGAAATGTGCAGCAAATCCATGCAAATGAAAAGGAGTATCTGTTGGCATCTAATATATTGAGTATAGGCGCCGATTACGCCAATATGTCAGGCGCTCACTACACGAGGATATTATTCCTATTAAGTAAAGGAATGACATTAATGATAGACCGACGGCTCACTGAAGTACACCCAGTGCTGAGTCTCGCGGGACAGTTAGTGGAGACCTGGAATGGAAATGTCCAAATGAAAGAAGCGCTTAAAGTATACTTTCTTGTGCTTCAAGTTTGCCATCATTTGAATGCCGGACAAGTAAGCCGTTTGAAAGCATTACTATATTTTGGAGATTATCTAATGGATGTCAATATACTGTACTTATAGGTAAAGAGTGTTAAGCCGTGTTTAAAACTTTTGCAACAAAGCATTCAAAGCATAACCGCTTATCACAGCGAAGACGGTATGATTTATATATAGAATATCATTGAATACCACATTTGATTGATTTAAATGGTTTCGTAATTAGATTACGGGAACGTTAACCCCAACGACATGTTCATATGGATGCCCAGAGAGCACATGTGTGTTCTCGTATATCTGGTCTGTTGTCAACACTCATTGAGCTTTAATTGTTGTTATATTTGGTGTGATGTTTATTATAGGTAACAGTACTTCACTCAATGCAAGCCGGGTATATGGATAAGGCACAGAAGTACACCGAAAAGGCACTCATGCAAATCGATAA